CGTCAGACAGCGTCTTCAACGCGAAGGATAACATGAGTCCTGAGCAGAGTCTGTCGAGGCACTTGTCCATGGGTCTTCGCTCGATCGCTTGAGCAGTAGCTGTTTCGCCGTCATTTCTGAAAACATTCGGAAAACGTGCCTAAACATTCGCAGCTCTAACTTCTCGACTTAGAGAAGCAGCAGCTGTACATCAGTCCTTTCTTGACTATCTGAAATCCAACCAAGTTAAGCATTTGTTAATAAATCATTTCATACGATTTATAACGATATATTAAATTGCCAAGTTTCTATACTATATATTGCCTATAGTGACAAAAGCAGAGTTGAGTCTGAAGATGAAGCTATCAGTGTTCTAATCGATTTTCATCCCAATGCTTACCTACGACCATGAGTTGTGGGCCATGACTGAAAAGCTTCGATCAGGGGAACAAGTAGCCTAATTTGCATTTATAAAACCAATCGCTAGCCTCACATGTCCCGACGCGGTCCAGAGTTCTGATTATCGACAGAACCTTGACGCAGCCGCTGATTCTGAAGATTGACAAGTTACCACTGCGAGGGCTTGGATACGTCCTTTAAATGCTTCAAGAGAAAAAGATTTAACAGCTATCATCTTCCCAACCGACAACAACGAGAATGGAAAGATTAACCTGAGCGAAGTGTATGGATGGACTTGCCAAGTGTATGGAAAAAGACACGGGTTGTCTCCTGCCGAAGCTCAGACGCTTGCACAAGACTAAGGATCTCTTGGACAAAATGTCTGATGCGTCTGTCTACTTGATCACGAAGAATCTGGGGTCAAGGACGTTGACTGATTTACTAAACAGAGCCTCATGCTCTGTTTACAAATAACTTTTGTGCGACGGCAAGGCGTGAGAGATTGAATCAACTAGCTGATACAAATGACCACCTGCAATTGCATAGACTCCGACTACTATCGCTGAGGTAGCGACCTCCCGCAGTAACCAAGACGGAGTCATGAAATAAAATGAAAATCATTTATACTCATAGTTTGACAACGGCATACTCGTAGAGAGAGATACCGAATGATGAACGACGTTAAATAATTGATGCAGATGGTCATCTGCAATGATATTAGTTCAAACTTTTGACAGCAGACTGCGCGCTGGCGTACTGGCATCGAAATCACACTAAGAAGTTCATTACTTTGCCAACGGAATCATACTTCATCCACAAAGATGCATTCATTGATATATAATACGATAGATTAA